GTCAGAAAAAAGCTGTCCACGGTCACAAAAAAGAAGGTCCCTTTTTGGAAGATACCTCCTGTTGGGAGCAACTACTGCATCGGGAAAATCGCTTTGGTTCCCGCTCGGAACTTGATGCAAAGACGGGAACCACACTTCACAATCCTCCCAACGGTACTGGGGTCTGAGCTGCCACAGCATTTGCATGATCCGCGGTACTTTCATACTCCTGCAGGTTCCAGTGAAAGCACGAATCGCAAGGTCAAGCTGATGGCTTCCAGGTGCGCTGTAATACGCATTTTCTCGCCTATTGCCCATTGTTGCAGGGATCGATGCCTCGCTGTTCAAGTGTTCTATCTGGATTTTCTTTGGGCCCGCTACTCTGCGAGCATTACAAGTCCTGCAGCTCTTCCCCATCCACTCTGCTTGCAACATCCTTCCCAAGAACGCAGTCCTGGCAGATGAGCTTCGCCTGTGCCTCATCCGGCACCAGCTGCCTGTCTGGCACAGCATAAATAAAGCAGTTGAAAAGAAGGCATGGTTGGACCATAGTATCAGATCGTTCTGTCAGCTTAACCTGTCAGGACATGTCTTCGTTGTGAACTAATGACCTCGCAGATTTATGCAGCGCTGAACTCGGTGCAAACAAGTGGCTGCTTCGAGACCACGAACAAGCCGAGCTGTGCGGCTTCGTCCTACGAATCCAAGGCCAATCCATGTCGACACGGTGGCCCCTACATGGAGTTGGACCTCGACCACTTGATCCACCGTCTTTCCGCCCTTTTCGCCCTGCTGGATAGCATCAGGCTTGATAACCTTGGGTCACAGCTCCGTCATGCATGGTGGCCTTGGTGCCTGTACAGCCCGACCCTGGCACACCCCTCTAGCTCCGTCGAACCCTCTTCAAGCTTCAAGCTGGTTCAGCACAAGACACGGCTAGCGTGCGTTCTACAGGCAAGGCGTCCAGGTGCGGGAAGAAGAATTCAATGTCTCCTTGGCTGGCTGAAGCACACAGGCTAACATCGTCACTGATGCAACCATGCACAAACCCCGCAGGTCTTCGTGATGGTGAGAACCAATGCCAAGCTGAGTCTCTTTGGCATTCCCATTTGTCCAAGCTGATGTAGAAGCTTCCTGCGCACGGGCTTGGAGCATGATAGCTCATCTGCGGGGACTGGCTGCATACCATCTGCAACGACGCAAGCCTTTGCCGTACGTTTCCTCCAGGCCCTGTCACGTTGAGCAACTCGTGCTGTAGATGCAGCACAGGATGGCTACAGTGACCAGCCTCTTTCATGGCTAAGGAGCGTTCCACCACATCTCCGTCTAAGTGCTCGAGGACAAGCACCTCACGGGCTTGCTGACTTGCTCAAGCTCTGCCTGAATCTTCTGTTTTGTCCAACCCTTCACATTGCCAAGGCAGTATGCCCATACGGATGGAAAGGGAACACAACTACGCGAAGCTCCACAAAGGATACGGTCACACGCATGCACCACAGCCAACGGATGCTAAACGTCCAAAACCATGACAGATAAGCCTTGACAACCCCCACGATCTGAAAAATGACCCTCCCTGATCGTAAACTTGTCACTCTAGATACGATTGTGCTTTGGGTGCGCGAAAATTTTTGGTGATGGTGGATCTGGAAATCGCGAGCGTTGCGTGCAGATGATGCTTTTCCGAGGAACCCAACAGCGCCAGCATGGCTCGCAAGATTAGGGAACGCCATGGGCGTCTTAAATCTGTCGCTGGCGCGTGCAGAAAGATCGTGCCTGCGACAGTCCTCGGCTCGCAGCCTCTGCGGCAGCCTCCCGAGCCTTTGGCTTCAAGTAGTGGAAGTAGCTTTCCTTAGCCAAAGCTCTCCAAATGCGTAATCTTGAGCATGAAGGGAGCGGGGAGGAATTTCGGGCATGTATAAGATGTCCTGACTTCCCAAGTCCATACAGCGGGAGGCCGCATAGATAGCTACTTACTTGTCAGACTTGTGCACCATCGGCTTTGCAACAGTGATGAAAGTAATGTTGCTGCTCAGCAACAGCTTCTTCAGCCAGGTACACCTCCTTGCGCGCTTTGACCTCTAAATATGCCTGGCAGCTTGACTTTGTTGAACATGTTGAGCTTGCCCGGATCAATCTGTCACACGCCTCTTCAAACTTGCTGATGAGCTCATCAGCCTTGCATGAAATCACTAGCAGAAAGGCTGCCAAAACAAATCTTCAACTGCCTGTGTACATGGCCTGAAACGCTGACATGGCCCAGAAATATGTACTGTCACCACCCCATCTGCTGCTGAGGGCAATGACGGCTTCAACGCGCTTCGAACGTTGCATCGCGCAAACCGATTCCTAAAAAACTGGTGTTGGGCCCAAGCGACAACCGTGTTGATAATGTATACGGTCCATCTACAGCCAAAGTCAGCCAAATTGTGATAGCTTATGTTCGATTGAACAGAAGTTCATTGCACCAGCGCAGGCAGTGATATGCAAAAGCTACAGAAGGGCGCCGTTGATGGGGAAAAACAGAACAACACGAGTAAGTTGAGTATGTCGTGAGGTTGGCAGATTCGGTAGGAGATTGCCATGCGGTTTTCTTCAAACCAAGCCTTGCCCTCAAGGATGAGCTGTGGCATAAGGAGAACGACGCTTCGAGTCTTCTCCTGCCACAGCATCTTTGCAAATCAGACTTCCAAGTTGGGCAAAAGCACTGAGTGCCTCCAAAGCGAGCATGATTCTTGAAGCTGGGCCTACACTACAACTATCAGAGACTACAAGTGGGTGAGAAAAAGGGCTGAACCCTTTTGAACCAGGCAAAGCAGCGGAGGCCAACACTGTCAACTGCTTCACATGTGGCATGTGCACATGATGACCCTGCAGGATGTAGGGCTGACACAGATAGGCTGATGTAGCAACCAAAGGACACCAGCAATGGTGGTCCCACTGGCCGCACATCAAACAAGGTTGGCACAGTTGGCATCTGATCCCAGCTCTCGAAGACCTGGACTAAGCCAGGTCTGCTAATGCTTGGATTCATACGAATCTGAGCCGGTGCTGCTTTACGGAAGCTCCGCTTGCACTCTCGGCCCGCTGCGGTAGTTTCTGGTGCCAATACCTTGCACATGATTTTCCCTCGCTCTTCTATTTGACAGGTCGAAGAGTGTCGCGAGCATGTGGCGCCTCGCTCGTGGATGCTGATGAAGCTGCAAGGCGGAGGCCCGCCACGCCCGCAAAAAGGAGGAGGCCGCAAATGGCATCCACCTCTGGAAGCGCAGAATTGCCAGTCGAATCGCAGCTTCTTAATGCTGACTTGATGCTGGCTGGCCTTGTATGACCATCCAAACCAGAAGATCTCGCGGGCACAAACCAGTACCTAAGGCAAATGACACCTATTTAATGTTGTTCCAGTTCAGGTTGCGAAGGTTGCAGTTTGCATCTTCTTGCGGCCAAGCTACCAAACAGCAGGGCCCAGCAACTGCACCCAAGGCTCCAGGCCTGACCAAGTGCCAAATTGCACTTGGCAGTCCCTCATTAAATCGGGCCAACTCTCTGAGCAACTGGCGCAGTAAGCCCCAGGGCAGCCATTGCCAGAGTGGCACCGCCCAGAAGACGCAAAACGACGCCTTGTGCAGCTGACAAAGAATTGGAACCTCTCTCTAACGGGCTTTGGCTCTCAGGGCCGAACCTGCCACCAGCCTGGAACCCGTGGGCGCAGCAAGGGCCGCCACGCTTGCGCTAACATCTGCCAAAGCCAAGGCAGCTGCCTCGCTAGCTCTCGCTACCTCCTCTCCCATAAACCAAGCTCCGTAAGAGGTTGAACAGGGGTGCCCCAAGGAGGACTGAGGAAAGTGCTTGGATGGAGCCGTCAATCACAGAAATACCACTCGTCATGAAGAAGTCCAAGGTGTAAGTCGCAGCCCAGCAAAGCGCCTGCCAAAGCGTGTTGAGCCGCTGCTTCATTTCAAGTCAAGAGTGGGATGATCGGATCAAGCCCATCAGTTCGCAGGCAGGCACCGTCGTAGCCAGCGCAGAGCGATAAACGATGACCTGAAAAACTCTTGCCAAAAGGATCCCACCTTCTTGCACAAATTCAGTGTCCCAGCCACCTGGACTTGCTCCTGAGGCGTTGGACCACCATCGCCTCCTCCTGTGACACAAATATCCAGGGCATAACGCCATCTGCCAGCCAAGCTGTGTTTATGGCATGCCTCCGGCTCGTCCAGGCTTGCCCGACACAAAGGGATCACTAACAGCATCCTGAATGCATCTGCTTTACAAAGGAAATTTTCAACCAGCAATCGGGAAAGCTACGAGTGCATGCAGCAGGGGTTACATCGCTTGGGAGAAAGTCTGGATTGCTTCCTTTGTCTGCCCATGCTTTGGAATCACCTGCCTCCACCAAAGTCGGGACGGCAGCCGATGGTATCCGGTCACTTCTGGCAGGCTGCAATGGTGTGGGAACCTGAGTTGCAACCTTTTCTTGAGAAGCATGCATGTCAGGCAATGGTCAAGTCGCGCAAGCGAGCAGCGAAGGAGATGAACCTGCCAAGTTGAAGGAACAGGGCAGCCACAACTGCCTCAGCACAAGTCACGCTCCAGACTAACTTTGCAAAAGCTTTGCAAACAGTACAGTACCTGCTGAGTGCGCAACCACCGCAGGTGTGGTCCTACGGAGATCAGCTCGTCGACTTTTTGGCCAAGTCGTCATGGCGTCAAGGGCAACATTGCCAGCATGGGCATATTGATGTTTGACATCTTCCAGGGTAGGAGTTCAATGCCTCGTGGTCTGATATTGCAATTAGACATTGTGATCGGTTCTCATGCTCTGCGGCGAGACCCAAACTCGGGACAGCATACCGTACCAGAATATGCACGGGCGACCTAAGATTAGGGGCAGCGACTTCACTCTCATGCGCGAACCTGCCTTGGGTAAGTCGGCGGGATTTAGCTACCACTGACTCAGTAGCCTGAGCAAGAACATCCTCTATGGCATGCCTGATGGCTGCGGCAATCAACCCTACAAGGCTTTTGATCCTCTTAATCACAAGCTCTTTGAGCAGCATAGCGAGCAAGAGCAAGCCTCCTGATGCCTTGAGGCTACCAAGCTGCAGCCAAGAAAAACTTCCTGAATCCCGCCATGGGCCGGGCAACGGTGCCGGAGACCTTCTGACCTTTCGCATGGTCTTAGACTACTCGAGGAGTCAGAGTTTCCAGCGTGCGAGGGCCTAGGGAAAAGTGCCATGCCAAAATGCACTTCACGGCAAGAGTATCAGGGAGAAGTTGAAGCAATCGCCCGATGAAAGGCTCGTGAACACATTCGACAAACTCTGGAAAGATGGCTAATTTGAGCACTATCTAAATCAAAACTATATCGCTTCAAGGCCCATTAAGAGTTTCAGGGACTTCTGGTAAATGAGCGCTCTGGTGCTTGGTCGGTCCACTCATGCGGCTTTTAAGCCTGACACCTGCTACAGCAACCGCGATGAAGTCATGATTTTGTCCCACGTATACGTCCCAATTCCGCCCGTTGGTTGCCTCCTGCATTGAAAAGGCATGATGCAAAGTCACATGCCAACTCCTCGGGGCCGTTTCCGAACAGATGTGCGTGTCAGATGGATATGCAAGGAAGGTGCCTCAACGACCAAGTTTGATCGCGGCATCACAGGTCACAAGAGTGTGAGCATGTGGGCGGGTGTGTCAAACTCTTGTCCGTGCAGCTGCGCTTTGACCTGCCCTGCCAAATCACTGTATGTGTACAGCGGTTTCAGCAGTGCCCCGGGAAGCTTCAAATATTCGCTGGACATGCACTGTATCATGGCGCACACTGATGGGTCATAATCCCTCGTGTGAGCACTTACAGGAGGCTTATGGGCTGCTTGGCATGCTGCATCCAGGGCCTCCTTGCGGATGTCGAGCGCATATGGCGACCTCCTCCAAGTGCACAGCGCTCTGACTTGGGGATTGGGACTTGGTTGGCATTGGCAGTTTGCCAATGGATTTTTTGCTGCCAGGGCACAATTGGTGCCGGCAAACGATGCTGGGGAGATGCCGTAGCCGAAATAGCCTCGTGAACACTCACCTGAGCAAGCAGCTATGGGAACATTCTGCGCACGAAGCCACGCTCGATGATGTCAACAGCTGAAATGAGGGGCAGCGGAATGCGGCCCATGAGTGTTGGAGGCATGTGCTCAAGGGGAACGGGAGAGCTCTTGAAGAGTTCCAAATACTCGAGGGATGTACTCGCAGAGCGAAGATTCCCCGCCTCGTATGTCAACGGGGGCTTTACGCAACCTAAGTTCTGCTGACGCCGTGGAACCTCAGCCAGCATTGGCACAGAGTTGCTTAGCGAACATCATCTTGCTTCTCCGCTGATGGCCCTGGCTATGAAGTGTCCTCCTTCTGCCCCAGGCGGTGCTGGACGCAACGGCTGTGAGGCGAAAGGCTTCCTGCTTCAGGCTTGCTGCAGAGGACGGCACTTGTACGAGGGCAGATGCAGGCCTTGATGGTGGCTGCGGGGACTGCTCCTGCAGCGAGCAATGCCATCTAGAAAAGCATCGGAATTGTATGGAATTGTGAATCTGCGGAATTTATCCTCCGGCTAAGCAAACAAAAGCCCAAGCAGAAAGGGAAAGATGCGGCAGCCATCTGTCAAGTTTGCAGGAGAAGCCGCCTGCTCTTCCTGGCAAGACGGTGCACGGCGATCCATCCTGACATGCACGCTGTGCTGAGACTACCATGTGCCCTGGCTGGGCACATCGATCCGATAAACATACACAAAGTCATGCTGGGCTCCTTACTGCCAAAGGCCTTGCTGGTCAGTGCTGTCCTGCACCAAGCAGGAACCAACTCAAGTTGAAAATCTTGAAATTGTAAGGAGTTGAACTCAAGAAACCATTCTGTGGCGGCTGTCCTTCCGGAGGGCACTGCCAAGTCTTGCCTTGGGTCAGCCACAGCCCCTTTTGCAACATGAAACCGCACAGGCAGATCCCTCGCAGTTGCCAGACAACGGGTCAGCTGGTTGCATTTGCTGACCACGGGGCACTCAGTTGATTGTCAATACGTGAAACGCCACGGCGCAGGCGGGGCAAAGCATTTTGCTGGAACTCGTGGGACATAATTCAAGCATCTTCAGTCGAAGCTCCAAGAGTCGCTGGCAGAAATGCAACTGCGCAACTGCTAGGCCATCCTCACTTCAACTACTCCATGGCCATGAGAAGGTCTCTGGATTTTACGGCGCTGGCCCTAGAACTTGCAAGCCAGACCACCATTCCGAGACTCTTGCCCGAGTACTCAGCCGAGAAGGCCGAGAGTGAAGGGACCATGGGCTGCTTGTTCGGCTTGGCGGACAAGTGGCTGTCACCATGTACGAGATCAAATCGGCTCAGGCCAGATGGACAAGGCGCACACCAAACCCGGAAAGGCCCAGCAGAGCAACGAACAGTCTTCCACAGTTTCGCAACAAAGTCCCCATCGAGGAAGAGTGCGCGACCAGCGTCTTGATGTGCTTTGATCAAGGTGGCTGCTGCTTGCGCTGCATCAACTCCATGTTGGTTGCTATCCAGAATGGCATCTCCTTCGATTGGCTCCGTCGCGCTATCAGCCCAATCACTTACATTAAAAAAAGACTTAGATGAGAGCTTCTGCGATCATGCATTTGCTGGCCGAGTTTCATGCACATTCCTCAGATATGTTGCTTCGCACTTGGGAGATCAATAAGCACTTGCAATCAAGCAAAGATTATCTGCTCTTCTTATTCTTCTTCTTCTGCTGCTGCAGGCTGCATGCACTCTAAAAAGATGTGTGCGGTTGGCTCCCACAATGTGCCAAGCGCCGCACATTTGAAAGCCAACGCGGCGAGGGCCACCTGTAACTTCCCCTTCCGAGGGCATAGAACTAATCCTGCTTCTGCGAAACAGAATAAGTCTCCTCCACCTTTCTGTGGCTTGTGAGTCTCTGTTTGTGAGTCGATTCAAACCTTCCAGACCTATACCCTGACATTGAGTAAACTTGCTTACCATTATCTCCCTACGAAGGTTGCATGCCGCATCCTCCCGAGGTTTCTCCCCCTCTCGCGTGCCCTCACCAGCACCGCATCGCACTGAAGTCCATTCATCAAAGGATTTCCTGTATGAATTGTGGAATGAGCTTTCAAGGCCTTTGGACGTTCTCCCAACAAGGTCAAACTTCCACTGTGGACTCAACACATGAGGAATGCAAATGAAGACTCGCTCTTTCTTCCTCTCAGAGCCTTACCCCTCGTGGGAGGTGCCAGGGCACAGGTCCGGCCCGACAAGCAGCGGCCCCGAAGTACCCGTTGCAGAGCTCATAATCCCAAACCTCAACATCCCGGCTCCCTTGACGATCGAAAATCGGCACAATAATAAATTCCTGCGCCCCACTGTTCTTCTAGTAGCTTTGCGAACCCCTCGCAGCGCCCCACTCTCTCTTTGCTAAATTTGTGCTGCTTTGGGGACTGACAGAGCCAGCTCCGCCTGGCTTGTAGGCCTTCCTCTTTCGTGGGACCACACTTCTTCTACCAGGTCGAGCAGCTGGAACATGTTGCACTGTTATTGCCATATTGCTGTTCAAGGAGAGTTCAGTGTATGAAGCAGGGCTGCCTGGCAACTGTACTTTAGCGGTGGTGTTTCGGAAGACTGGAACAAGTGAGGGTTCCGTTCGGCTCAGTATTAAATAGTTGGCACTATCCAGCTTGGATCCTGCATTTTTCCTCCGTTTCAATGTATTTCACGGTTCTGTAACCCTGGAATCTACATTGTTTGGGGGGGGTATAGTTAAACATCGCCTTCTTTCTTTCTTCCGCTCCGTCTCTCTCTCTCTTCTCTTTTCTCGTGCGCAACCAAGAATCAGCAGCTTCTGCACGCGGAGAACCTGCCTGTGCATCGCTAGGTACTCCTGTGCAAAGCAGACTTCCTGCTAGGGTCCTGCAACTGCAATGCCAGCTCCTCATCTGAAATGTTCCGCAGGATTGCTGGAGCATCGGCAACCTGCGAAGGCTACATCCAAGCAACTGCACCGAGCATTTCTCTCCACCTGGACTGCCTCATTGTTGCGAAGAAATACTGCGATCCGACGCCAATCAATAAGAGTCTCAAAGGGCCTAGGCTGGCTGTTGCTGTCGCAAAAGCCCCCGGAACGAGATAGCATGAGTGCTTCAGTTTGTGACGGGCCGGGCCTAGAGCAAGCGCTACAAAAAAAACACAAGAAATCCTGCAACGTTGGGCTGAACTCAAAACCAGGCCTCGGCTTCATCAATGAAAAAAACTTCTGTAAATGGAAAATTTGCTTTGAGTGAACGCTCCTCTCTGCAGAACGGTCCATGTGCAGTCCAAGCCCTGAGAGTACTGCACTCGCTGTCTTGGAAGGTTGAGGCCTCTGTACATTCTGTTTTGCTGGAGTTTTGCTTACATATGTTTACATGCAGTTGCAGATCGACGTGGGTGAATCCGAGTTCCATGACTCGCTCTTCTTGCGAGCATGGTACTCGTTGAACCTTACTGTAATCTGGGTCAACGCTGGGATTACTGGAACTCCCCGTTCTGGGGGTGTACCCTTGGCCTCAACCTGTTTCCGTTATGACATGTCATGACTAGTTGTGAGCTGAGCTCCGAGTGAAGCTTGGGTGCTGCTCGTCTCTGGCTGGTTACCTGCCCTCAACTTGGTCGCCGACGGATGAAACGCGTGCGTCAGAAGGACAGGCACGCAGCCATGTAGGAGCACCTGTGCAGGCAAATGCCACAACTGTATAAACCATGCAGATGCGATCTGTTGGAACAGGGGCTGGCCTCATAAAGTCGTGCTGATATGGATGAGAAACCATCAGGGACAAAGCCTATGCTCTGTCAGCGTGCGACTTCACAGCATATTGTGACTGCAGATCATATCGCGTCTTGTTGAGCCGGGCCGCAGAACTTGGAGCGGAATAGGAAGTCACTCCATGGTTTCTTAGGGATTGGCTTTGGAATGACCAGCACCTGTGCTGGGAAACAAGCCAACTGTACAAGCCTGTTGGCTACTGTACTTCCATGCCTCCGCAAGGATCCCCTAAACCCTCTCTTGCTGCTTTCCGATACCTCTGCATCATCGGATGCAGCAAGTTGGTCTGCGATCGATCTTCGAATACAGCTGTTCCTTTCTGCAGCATCCAGACAATAGTATGCACGGGACCCCAATTTGCGTAATGTAAACTAGCATCGGCGAGGCGGCATAAAACACCAGCAAGTGCCGATCGTCAGTCTGTTCGGCGTCTGCCGTCCACTGAAAGCTCGTGGGCACTGGCACGACAACATCCTGTTTGGTGCCAAGTTTGGAGAGCTTGCAGCAACCGCACCGCTCTGCCCCTTGCCATCGGAAGTGCACACATCTAAATACATGACACCAACATTCACCATTTCTGCCTCTCGACTGCCTGTTCGCAGCACTGGCAAAAAGAGAGCAAGCTGCAAGCGTCCTGCTCGTAGTACACCAAACGCCTGCCAAGTACAACTCATCATGTTCATACGCCATGACGAACCCCAGAATCGGCAAATATAGCAAGCTGAGCTTTGGTTTTATTCCTATTTGATTTCACTACAGAAACTACCCCTTCCGCGAAGCCCTTCCGCGATCCTTCCGCGAGTGGTGCTTGTAGTCTTTTTTGCTTCCGCCTTCTGCGGCTGCTTCTGCGAAGGTTTTTCGGCTGAATTTCGGGATCTGCCTCCGCAAAAGGGCTTCGAAGGCTGTTGATAGCCGTAGTTTCTGAAAACATGAGCTTCCGCAAGCCCTTCCGCAGAAGAAGAGCTTCCACGGAGCTTCCGCGTCCTTCCGCGCACACAGGAAACCCCGTTTTCGGACCAAGATTTGACGAGTTTCTGTGTTGCGCACTTGTACTTGATCGACCGGAAAAAAAAACGCTGCTCAGCTGGGCTTATACATAGAGCTTGCTGGAAAAGAGTCCTGCCTTTTGGACGTACTGCTGCGGCCCTTACAAGGGTCGGGCAGAGCCCCATTAGCGATCTCTGACTCTGGCCGGAACCAGGGCTGATTCCTGCGCCACGCGGCAATTAGCAGTTCCAACAATTCTTCAACATGATCCGAAACATGCAGGTATGTTGTGTTCACCGGTGTCCTCTTCATCCAAGTCCTCGGCAGCTACTGATTTTGCCACTCTCTGACCACAAAAAACGTCTCAGGCCCCAGCGTTCCATTTCCAACCTAGCACAAAACTTGCTTTTAAATGAAGGGAGGCAGTAGAAGTAAGTGGTGATGTTCTTTGACGGCAGGCAGCTGTCGTGATCGCATGCCAGTTTTGTGTGGCTCTGGATGCCATCGGGTAGTCCACTCGCCCTTTGTCCATGGCAAACACGATAACAAAGTTCCTTACAGGGTGCTAGGTGGCCGCGTTGCTGACAGTTTTGGTGACAACCTGCCTCCCTTGAGACTTTTGGAAGGCAGGCGTGGACTCGGCCCAATGTATCAAAGGCATGAGATAGGACTCCTGCCAAGTCGCGCAAACACCAAACCAAATCTCAATGCCAACTGTGAAGCTCGGGATGTCCTGCGCAATCCTCAAGGCCTCCCAAGTCAACTTCACGGTGTTGAAGCCAGCTCCGTATCCTCAGCAGCATTATGCACATCCAGGACCCGGTACAGGCAACGGCTTTGGTGCTCCAACGGACCGCGGCAGTCAACAGCCGCTGTAATTACAACTGCTGAATGATCCGGTGTCAAGTTGTCAAAAGTCAATCATGATCAGGAAGCGTTCATGTGGGTGGCCGCGCAATGTTCGAAATTAGACTAATTAGACGATAGCACATTGCCATTCTTAGTCGGCCGAACTAAAAAGCTATGCCGGCGCTACAACGAGCCAAAAAAGTTGTTCTATTCCGAGTCCGTGTCTCCTTTCCTGCACATCCTTGATATCAGTGAAAAGTTGTGCTAAGGTTCGAATGGTGGAAGCCCCGAGGATGCAAATTTATGTGTTCTCGTTGCGAACGCCACAACTACTGAGGCCTCTGCGAAGGACGTGGTAAGCGTACGTCACGCAATGCTCCAGCACAACAAAATCCGCTTCTTCAGCAGAATCGGCAAGAAACTGCGGGTTCATCTCCTCGGTCACAGATCGGCATGTAAGCCATGCGCGCTTAAGAGAGGCACGTGGACATGGGCTGTACAACAGCATCCAAGGCTCGAAAAAATCTGTGTACATGTACTCGAAACTGTACCTCGGCATGCCGGCTCTAGCACGATGGGGCAGCTGAATAGTTGTTAATGTCGCACCCGCTTTAGCACAGGGGGTCGTATCGGGTCGAAATAGTACAATATTTTCGGGCTGATTCAGAATCTGCAGTTGTTCTGAGCCCTATATAATTTTGTTAGATACGAGCAAAGCTATGAGTTCGTGAAAAACCAGATGTTAGCATAATTATGAATCCGTGAATTCCGTCAAGCCCTTAGCCCGTGAAATCCGTAAACTCAGAGGAACCAGCTGCATTTAAACCCCTATTCGGGATCATTATAAATCATAGGGTCTGTCAATTTGTAGGGAGAAGTCCAGCAGAGCCCCGGATACTCAATAAGGAAAAGGCTGGGGGGTTCGGAATGAAAACTAACTCCGCCAGCCGCCTATATAGAATTTCCGGAAAATTTAAAAGGCCCAGAGCTTTCAGCTATAAAGCCAGATACTAACAAAGCTAGGAGTTCGTAAAAGCCAGATACTAACACAGCTATGAATCCGTGAATTCCGTGAGATTTAGATTTACAAGGCCCAAGGGCCTCAAAGAATAAAGGATGTCAATTAAATTCATTTGAATTTATGAGGCCCAAGGTCCGAAAGTATAAAGGATTTAGGTCAATCCTATCTAAATGTTAAAGGCCCAGAACCCTTCCAAATACTAGTAAACGCATGACTTCGTGAAAGCCGCGAAATCTGGTTCCAATGGGTTTGATGAACTTTATTGCACGAAATTAGACGTTTATTGCTTTTGAAGAGGTTTCTAATTGGTGACAGAATACCAGCTTCAAGGCTATTTTCTTCGATTTTTATTGCGCGCAAATTTGGAGGGGGCCAACCTATTAAAGAGGACTGCCAATTGTTCAGGGGGGGGGGCCTATACTAAAGGGGGTGCAACATTAACGACCAAGACATGAATGAGTTGCATAAACTCACAGCAAAGGCGCATGTGTCCGAAATATTCGCACCTTGCAAAGGGCGCTTTCTGAGACATAACATGAGTTGAATTCATGGATGCCGTTGACGTCAGCAAACAGAAGCCCCAAGCCCCACTGGCGCAGAAAGGCTGAAATGGCAATACCAACGAAGAGAAGCACATCAACGCCGAAAATGGCCCGCAATGGCACTTACAGTAAGCGCGGTTGCCTTCGTCTGCTAACCGCATGCGAGCGAAGAAGAAGCACAAAGACAACACAAAATGGGATGAACAATCGAGGAAGACCACCATGGGCAACCAACACACCAGACACACCATGGCGATGACAGTGAAGACGGGAACGAGGGAATCTGAGGAGAAGGAACGAGCCAACAGCAGCAGGAGCGACAGCAGGGGCAATCACAACACGGGAAAACCTATAACAACCACGACCACCAAGACCACCATCACCATGAGCAACACACCGAAACCAATTCTGGGCCAGTGGCTCCAACGTATGGCCGCGCAGTTGGCGGAGCTCAGGTGGAGGTCGCAACACGAAGAATTTCGCATGCAGCCTTTGATAGCAGCTGGTTGCTTTGCTTGCCAATTTATACCGGAAAACATCCAAGGAGCGATGAATTCAGCAGACCGGATAAATGCAAGGGAAGACCGATGTCCTTGGCTTTGGCTTGAAATGAAACTCTCATTTTGTCATGCCTGTCCATCTGCGCCGCAATTCCCCCTACAACTTGTGTGCCGCTCAGCAACTGGCAAAAGACATGTGGCAAACGGCAAGTTGATGACCACACACCAGGCAATGCGCGCCATTCATTGCGCTGAAAGATTGCATCGGGCTGGAGCCGACTGATTGCATTGTGCTCGCATATCTTACAGGCAACTTGCAAATCGATGCCTGGTGATGGCATGTGAAGTTGCAGCTGGGCTTTGCGCTGCATCCAGCCGCATGGCTTCCGATTGCTGCTGTGCTTCCCTGGCGGCTGCGTACCATAGAAAATCCATGCTCTCAAACCAGGCATGCAACCCAGCAAGGCCGGCCGCAGTTGCCGCCGTAATCGTTGGCAAGCCTGGTCAACTGACGATGTCGCATCATGTTACATGCCTACGCTCTGCCTGATGACCGCCGATGTGTCTGCATGCCTCACCCTGTGGAAGCATGTTCGGCGGTGAGGCATCCCAACCTGAGCGAATTTTGGGATACTCGTGTATTCCCTGCTTCATACTAACACAAACACACCTCCACGTTCCAGCTGCGCAATGCCTTGGCCAAATTGACATGTTATCTTCAAAATTGACGTCAGCTTTGGAAATATTGATTCCGCGCCACTGATAGGTGCTGGGTTGCTCCATGTCCTGGTCCACGAAATGCGCACCAAATCACAACACCCAAACTTTGCAATACTGTTTGCTGTCGAGGTGCATCTTCACATCAAAGCAGGTGTTCAACGCCCAAAAGCCGCACAGAACATCCACCAAAACCAAAACATGTTAAATATCAAAAGCTTGCTGCCGTTGGATGCACCATGTCCGCGTGCCTGCTTGTATGCATGGAAACAAGCGGAACTTTGTTTTGTCAATAGTTCAACCGCAGCCAGATGCTTCAGACAACGTTGCGCATGCAGCCCTTGACGACGTGTCTAATGTGCAACGGACGATCAAGAAAAATTACTTACACGATCCCCACAAAATGCAGTTGCAGCTGCAATATTGTTTGCAACCATGATTCTTATAGGAGGTCACGCAGCAGTGATCTGGGCCCAATGCGTCAATCAACGTCCGAATGTCAAACATCATAGCTAGCAACAGACCGAACCGGGGGCGAAAGTACATGTGATGGTGAAACTATGACTATAAGTTGGAGACCAGGTATTCTTTGGCAGCACAGTAATAATGCCGCTGCAATATCTTTGCAAGTTTTGGCACGCAATTCAATTCGTGACACTCGCGCCACATACAGTGGGCAGGTCGATTCTTGCTGCGACCATGCCCAAGCATCCGCTGTTTTGGCTGGACGTGTTTGCGACGAAACTCGCTACGTTGGCCTGCATGCAGGGACGAGGCAGTCAGACACAAACCCTCCTTCAAGTGGGCCTGCTGATGGCCACCCCTCTTTGGCCTTTCATGGGCCCGGTGAATCTGGTCCGGCGGAGAGGAACCGAAAGATTCTGGACTGGCAGGGATGGCGGTCGCAAAACAGCATTGCCAGCATCAAGATTTGCAGAAGTTGGCGGGGGCGGTGGTGGTGCCACGTTGTTATTGGTGTGCCAGCCGTGGGCACCTTGCGGTACACCGGGGGGGATGTGTGATGAGCCATCTCGTTCAACCAGAAGCGGCGATCTGTCAGCAAGAGCCTGCAACACGTTGTTGAGCACACTTTGGATCTGAAAAAAGTTCCGCTACCTCCTCCCCGCCGCCTGTTTGGTTGCGCCCGTCTGGAACACCTTTTCCTCCCCGCCTGCACCAACTTCCCGTGCTTGCAGCATCCTGAACAGTTAGAGCGTGCAGGTTGGTGATGTCACAATGTCTGCGACGCTCCATCAGGCTTGGTGCACGGCGCTGGCATTGGCACGCTTCACTGGTCGCTTCGACGAAGTTGTCTATGTCTTTCCAGCTACAGTGCTACAGCCTATTGATGGCCGTGCATCCCTCATGTTGCGGCAGCACGGACCTCGCTGCTGTCCACGCAAACAACGGACTCTGCACCATCTGGCAATCTGGGAAGGAATCGCAGACCCCAGTCCTTGAGCATCCCTGGAGCCTGAAGTCTTGAGAGTTGGCTTATGAATCACTCAGTGCTGCAAGGGCCCAATGCCAGGGAGCTGGCTCAGTGGCCTTGCCTCCTGCCCCTCAAGCCACCAGTAGGTGCGCAGCATGCCATGCCCGGCGCTGAGGTTTCTGCCAGCTCCGCGCGTCTGCGCAGGGCCGCCTTTGCGCGGAAGCTGCGCACGGCGACGCTGAGCTCTTGCAGCAGCTCGGCGTGAAGGGCTGCTGGGTCCTCGCCCTCACGCGAAGCAACAGCCCCGGCATTCTGAACCAACACCTTGGCTGCTTCAAGCTCCCACGCCCCACTAGTCTCGACTACGAGCGGCACGAAGCGCACCCTGTGCCTGACATGCAGCGGCCGTGTCCAAGTGGACCAGAGGTCCGGGGTCATCCTCTCCCCTCTCTGTTCTTTGCTGTTTCCCCTCCTCTCTCCTCTGTGCGCTCTCCTCTCTGCTCTCCTCTCCCCTCTTTCCTCTCCTCTCTCTTCTTTCCTCCCTCCTCTCCCCTCGCTTCTCTCTTCCGCTCTTCTCTCCTCTCCCAGTGGTTCGCGACCAAGTCCCAAAAAGTCCCAATAGTGACGACAGTTTGGCATTTCACGACCAGACGGGACTGGAAGCCGCAGTCCCCACGGACAGCATCCACCATCGCGTGTCCAGCCCGCAGCGGCCGCTGCGCATGGCTGGCGGGGCTCGATGGGCTCTCACTCGCACCAGCTGGCGGACGAAGCTGCGTGCCCCCTCATTCCACTGGCCGCCTACACTTGAGCCGAGGACGACGAGCTTTTGCGGCCCCGCACACGCAAGCTCCGGGTACGCGGCGTGCTTGCGTCGTTCGGCCACTCGCAGCGCGGCGAGCCTTTGCAGCATCCCTGCTTGACTCCTTGCCGACGCGCGTTGGCAGGCGACCCCCGCCAGCAGCCGCCTTCCCATGCGTGTTGGCTGAAGCTGGGGCGCCGTGCACAGGGACCCACATGGATACTGCAGGCGGATAAAGGTCCCCAAAAAAAAATAAATACCGGGCTCGCAAACCTATTTCGCGAAAACAGCCGTCTTGGTGGACTGATGCGTGCTTTCAGGCCCTATTGCAACGCAACGCTGCTTGGCGTGAACATGCTGCACTTCCTGTGCGACGACGATTCTACGGCTGCGACGGCGCTATGTCCTACAGCTCGTGCAAACCAGGCTGAGCAACAACGATGCATGTCGGCATGGCAAACTCATTTCCAAAGCGCTGCCGCTCTGGGCGTTTTTGTCGACGTTTTGCCCGAGAAAAGCGTCGCGTTGATCGTATCCGTGCTGCCAGCGTACCCGGAATACGATGAGACATGCCGGGGGGCCACCCCCGTCACATTGCCCGAAATGTAAGCTCCACTTGACCCATGTGCTCTTGGCAAAGCACCAAAGTGTGACAACATACCCTATGACATGTTGATGTTGCATGGTGGAATGATGCTGTACAACAATTTTACCCGACTGCGCAGCAGAAGGGTTCTCGTTTTGAGGTTGGAGGTCTGCGGGTTGGGAGTTGGCGCAAAATCCGTGCGCAGCGTTCGCAAGCGTCAGCCGTGTGTCCGCGATGTGTCCGCAAGTGTCCGCGTCGAGAATCGTCGCGAAACGCAGGACTGTCGACACTTTTGGACTCGCGTTTGGTCTTCGCGTCTCAAACGTGTCAACCTTCACAACGATCGGGAGGGTTGTGGTCGCGAAACGCGGAACTGTTCTCACTTTTGGACTCGCGTTTGGTCTTCGCATCTCAAACGTGTCAATTTTCACAAAGATCGGGAGGGTTGTGGTCGCGAAACGCGGAATTGTCGTCACTTTTGGACTCGCGTTTGGTCTCCGCATCTCAAACGTCGTGGTCGCCAAACGCAGGACCGTCGTCACGTTTAGACTCGCGTTTGACCCCTGCTTCTCACAAGTGTCAACAGTCACAAGGATCGGGGGGTTCGTGGTCGCGAAATGCACAGCTGTGATTGGCTTGCGGATCCTTTGCGGTGTACGTGTCAATGTCTGCATTCGGGTTCGTGGATCCTATCAGGTCTAATTACGTGCGGAAACATGGCATTGTTGGCAAGACACGCAGCGTCGAATGATCGCAATAACCCCTACCCCTTCACATTGACATCGTGCCTTGCAAAAACGTTGGAGCGAATGATGTTGAACCGCGTGCGTCCCAGTATGTAACCCTTGGGTTGGATCAAAGTCACGCTGATTTCAGATGGGGTGCTGATATTCAACATTTCTTTTGTTGCCCATGTGTGCAAAGCCGCTGATGCCTGTGTCGCTTGGCTTTGCGCACAATTCCATGTCTGTAAATTTGTATGTGGCACGGGTGGCTGCAGAACACACGTGCGAGAAATGTGGAAATTCTGAGCGGCCGTAGTGGTGTACATAGCTGAAATGTGACAGTGCATCTAATGTTGTGATTCGCCTTTTACTTTTGCATTGTTGCTGTTTGTTGACCCCATACTTCCAAAATCACGTTTCACGCTCTGACCATGACCCNNTGGTCGTTGACGGATTTGCTTGTCACTTATACCGAACAGAGAACAAAAAAGAGAGCGATGAAAGCTCCGGTGACACTGTTTCAAACATCAACCATCAAAACCCCTCCCACCCCGTTACACCGAACACATGCAAAGCCCAACCCGGACTCCCGACCTGGACTTCCAACCCCGTCTCCTATATCTGCCACACAACCACCAGCCCGGAAAGCCCGGACTCCTGCCCCGGATTACTAGCCCAAACGCCCAAACGACACCTGACATCTAAAAAAAAAAAAAAACAGGGGTGCCAAATCCCGAACAAATCATCTTTGATGTATTTGGGCAGTACTTTGTCAGCGTTTG